GTAAATATCATCAGCCATAAATCCATCACAAATGTCCCATCCTATTGTCTAAAGATGGGCAAAGATGAAAACATTTCCATGGAAATCCCTTCAGGATATGCCCTTTGTCTGATATTCCAATGTCAGAACTCACCTGTCTGTTACAGTCAAAACCAAAAGGGACATATTTGCTAAACTTGGTTGCTTCTAAAAATCTGTCAGTAGTTGAACTTGGAAACAGCTTAATGGGTCCCATCGTATTAGTATCTGAACCTTTTTAGCCTTGGCCCGAGAAGGATCCAAACACTGCTTTTTTCATCTGCCACTAAAACCATCACAACCTAGCTACTCTTTTATCTGAAGTTTTGTTTTGAAGTTCTTTGCTGAATTGTATTGGTTTCTTTTAACAGCAAACAAGATTGTAAAAATGTCTAGTTTAGCATCACAATTGACAGCTTTCTGTCATTCTTTGCTGTTGGAAAGGAGGGTAATAGTAATTATGGTTTCTCCATTTAGGTTTCCTGAGTAATTGCAGTTCTTAGCTGTAGACACAAAAAATATGTATCGCAAGGTCAGTAGCAGTTTGTGACTTAGCTAGACTAAAAAAAGTAAACTGAGATAAGAAACCATAAGTACAAATGAGTTTCAGCAGAAGGGTCGTCTTCACTGAGCCGCAGAAGAGAAATGGGAGCTGAGCAGTGCTGTGTAGCCAAGCTTCGAAAAGGAAGTAAAGCTTTCCTCTGCTTTGAACGGAACAGGCAGAGCATGTACCCTTACTAACTTCCTCACTTTTAGTCCCTGGCTATACCACAAATTGTTTGACAAAATGTATATTTAAGATTTGAAAACAATTTGATTGTAAGGTATTTTTATTATATTAAGTGCTAAATAGTCTGGAACTTCTGTATTCAAGGGTCTGTGTGAGATCTTCCTGCCGTGGTCGTGATCAATGGAGGCAACTAAACCCACCTGTAAAGAGGGAGAGGAATTTGGTGGAAGAGTGTTCTGACTTTGGAACTTACTTCATTGTGTAGTGCTCAGAAGTTTGAGTTTCTTTAGCTTCTGGGCATGCCATGAACCTGCTGTTTATTCATTTTCAGTGAATCTATTCTGTAAATAAGGAAGGAGATCAGAATTTTAGTCTGTAAAGTAATGCTCAAGCATGAGAAAACAGAATTCAAATTGCAAAGAACCTTTCACTTGCTATTTCCAGCTTCTAAGTTCCTCAGGCTTTTCAAGACAATGCAATAGATTTACATAAGCAATTTGGTAAATAGTTTCACTCATCTTGAGAGGAGGTTTAAGTGCACTTGCTTTACTTTTCATTATAATGAAATAGGAGATGAATCAGGTCAAGGTGACCTGTTCTCTGGACCAGAGCAGGTTTATCATGTTGTCTTGGAGCATGGCTGGAAATAATATTATGCGGCTTACTAAGAAAATATGCCACGCAGCACCTTTGGAATCAAAATCTAGCCTGCAAACTAGAACAGTACTTCTAGAGCACTTTGTGATCTCGGACATGTAAAAAAAATCCTTAGATTCCCAAGTGGGATTTCAACATTGGAGATTTCAACTGAAAATCCCTACCTCTTTAAGCACTTTACTGTTGCCCGCTAAAGAGTGATTTATAACAAAAATGGCTAAGAAATAGCGGTGCTTTCTCCTTTTAACTGATCTCATTTGTGTTCATGAGAACCATGCTACACAGTCATTTTGAAGTTCTTGTTGCCCAAAGTTTTGTAGTTAGGGTAACATATCTGAGTGAGGACGGTTTTCCCGATGATTATATATATATGATGCATATGGTTTGTTTTTCATCCATGTTTATTGAATGGGTAAAATATTACAAAATTTCCAGTAAATTTGCAGCCTTCTTTCAAATCAACACCTTGGGTTTGATCCAGTGTTCATAGAAGTTTGCAGATAAAATTAACATTATTACTGTTATTGTCAGTATGCAACATCCAGGAGTTGCTACTGTAGCTGCTTTTTCTTTAATTGATTGAAATTCTTTTGATATCTGTAAATAATTGTTGGAGATGCTCTCTACCTTTCAAATTCAGCTGAAAGAAATATAATAATGGTTCCTTAAATATTACTTTCATATAGTTGTTAGTGTAAATGAATTGAAGTTCATATACACATAAAATGGAAAATGACTCCTGATTCTTTCCAAACAAATGGCAAATACAACAGTAATATATTAGTCATCTTGGTTGACCTGAATATTCAGTTTTCATTACATGAAGGTGGTGGTTGAAAAAATCTGCCTACTGTGAATTCAGGAGTCCGTGAATATACTGAAGGATCACTGTTGACTCGGCTATAATTTTTTGACAGTTGTGTTATGTTATCACTAATGGTTACTGACAGAAAGTCAGTTACTAACATCTTGTAATAATGCAGGACTGTAAGCGACACTATGCTTCTCTTTCATATATTCAGTTCTGAGCAGCTAGCTTACATCAGCATGAAGGACTTAGACTTTGAAATGTGTGATACACTCTTAGATTATTCAGGAGTAATAGTGTGTCTGTTACAAACCGCTTCTGGGATTCTTAGATTGGTCGGACAGGTGAATCTTTCATGGAGATGGGAAAAGGTCCCCTTTGGATCCTATGCTTAGATTGCTGTTAAAATTCAAGTTCTTTAAATCATGGAATATCTGTAGTTGTTAAACATTTCCGAATTGCTTTATGCTGAATGTTGCCAAACTATTTGCATTATCCTCCTCATTGTAGTCTCTGTCTTTACAGAGTCAACTTTAAAAAAGTATTCAGCTTCAGTGGTTCATGTTTGTTTTCAAGGTTTATAACGTTGTCAAAGGATTATGATGAAAGCCTTAGGAGCCTTAATATTAGTGCCATGTCTACTCTACCTAAAACCCACAAATGTCTAAATATAACAGGTGAAGGTTTGAATATTGATGCCAATCTGCTTGCACTACGCTTTGTTTGCTGTTTCTGGTTTTGTCAGAAAAGCAGATGTAGAATATATTTGTCTGATAGCTGACATAGAATCATAGAATAGAATCATAGAATCATTGAGGTTGGAAAAGACCTCTAAGATCATCGAGTCCAACCGTCAACCCAACACCACCATGATTCCTCCGATGGCACCAGCCCCTGAGCCACACGTTGATCAGGTGTGTTTTCCTGTACCTTTCGGTATCCTTCCCTGTCACTGTAGGGATAGAGGAAAACACTACCTGTGCTCCCGATCCTTGAACCAGTCGCCCCAGTGCCCTGTATAACGCTAAAGCTGGAACTTTCACAACGACCCTTTCTGACAACAACTTGTGCTGTAAAGGTGTTGATTTTGCACTTAGAAAAACTTGTGGATTTACTTTCCTTGACTTCATCTAAACTATTTTCTTTGAGTTAAAATTGCTTGTGCTAAATTATACAATAAATCTAAATAGGTAGGGGGTAAAGGATTACAAAGTACAATTTCAAAGGAGAGTTTTTAGTAGAGTCTTTTCTACAGAGTTGCTCAGGAATGCAAGACAACCGAGAATGCAGAATAAAAGAATAAACTGCAACTTCATAAGGATAATGAATTCTCAGATTTCAAATTACCTGTTTTAGATTTTGACAGATTTTTCACTATAGAAATTAGACAAAACCAAAACAATTTCTCCACCTTCCCCCAAACACTCTTCTTGTTCTGTCCTTAGTTTCTCTTAGATTTCAAACTTAGTTTACTCCTTCTCTAGGCCTGCTTTCAAAAAGTGTCCTTTGGATTTCTTCTAGTGGGGAATTCTTTCATCCTGTGTGTGTTTTTAGATGTCCTGCTTTTTTCCTTTCTTTTTGAAACAAATTTTGTTTTTAACTGCTTCCAAGAATAAAGTGTAATTAACATGCAAATCCCAACATGTTGTTCAACTTGTTCATTATACTTTCAAAATTCTGTCGGTTGTTGGAACAACCCCACTGCTCCTTCAGGTACTTCAAACTGAGTAGCCCTGTCCTTTGTTCCACACTCAAATACCTGCAAATGTTTGTTACTGTATTAAAAATACTAAATGTATTCTATATATGATTTCATTGCAAATACAGGAAAAAAAAATCTACAGAACCATGCCTTCCTGAATTAGTGTGATGTTGAAAAGTTGGTCTAAAATGATTTTTAAAATTGTGTGCAAGGTATCAACTGATTTCAGTAGTCATAAGTAATGTGAAAGAAAATGGCACTGCAGGAACAACACTTGTACAAAGAGTGCTAAGAGAATGTACCCCAAACTGAATCCCTTTATTGTTATTTTTGGCCTTCTGCTTGCCTACTTGATGCTCAGAAAGTGATGTCCAACTAGATTCACTATAAAAGCTGTTTACCAGCTCAGTGCTAATTAAAACTAAATAAAACCCCAGTCCTGCAAACTTGAACGTATTTGGCATTACTTCTAGCATAAAATATTTACAGGCTAATGTCAAAAAGGCCAAAGCCAAACTTTAAATTGCTATGTGTTATTCTAAAAAGCTAATATTTTAACTAGCACAATTAATGTTATAAAAACAAACAAACAAAAAACCACCCCCACTCCCCACCTTCCCAAACAATAAAAACAGCAGCAAGTATAGACTTAGTTATGTGGGGAATAAAAATGTTTATGATGTACATCATCACATGAATGAATTGTCTAGTACCTTACACCAAGCTACTTACGTTCATACTAAGAGCTGGCCTAACATATCACTTTAAAATGTGTTCTTGAGATACATAAACAAGTCTTCTGTTAAGCAGGTCTTACTCGGTAGTACTCAGAACTGATAGTCACATACAGATTGAGTTAAGCTTTATATCCCATGTGTCCAAATTTCCCTCCAGATTTTTTCCATGCAGAAGATATGTCTGGATAGCGTTTGAAGATTTTTGTACACATATCTGAGAATGCATCATGTATGATATGTACAAACTGGTCCTGAAGTACATGAGGTGTGAATCTGAGACAGCTTGGTCAACTGTGTATCTGTACAGTAAATCAATGCTCAATTGCATTGATTTCACTGTATATTCAC